TCAGCAGGATCTTGTCTGCACTCCTCTGCTCACTCAGCTTCCTGGCGTGGATTCTGGACAAGACTGTAACCCCGATCTTTGTCACTCCATATGCAGTATTGGGCCAGCCCTCTTTCTGGTGCACTCCTTTCTTTGTATCTTCCACGAACTTGTTCATGAGCTCCACCAGCTCCTCCTCGGTGATGGTCTCACTTCGGAACTTCTGCTGCAGCTCAGGGCTGCATTTCTTAAGGGCCATGACACTCACCATGCTAGACACGTTCACCACTCTGCCTAAAATACATCATAGATTGTTATGTAGAAAGGTGTGCACAAAAATGGTGAACAGCAAATTTGATAGGAATGTGGGCCAGAAAATTTCTATTTGAGAGACAATTACTAGTATGAGTTCCAAGAGGGATATGACACGGAGAGGGTGTGGTAGTTGCCTAAGGACCACCATTCCTGCCTTTAGGCTTTAGCTGAGTGTAGGAGTCAGATGACATTTGAAAGTGCTGTCCTTTGTTATCCTTCTTAGGAGAGGACACAGAAAAGAAGTGATAGAAAACCATACAGCCAACTTTAAGCCACACATTTTAATCTTTTGAATAGCGGCTGCTGCTTGCCTGAATTGGAATGTATCAAGGGGTGGTGGTTCAACTACTGGCCCACTGCTTGTGATATTATAGCAACTTGCAACCAAAGAAAACCACAGTTTATAGCCAGAGTGCTAAGCCATGGGGAAGGGGAGTTAAAATGAATCTGGACTTAAGCCACTTCAGATTATGATCCCCATGAACCATGCTAAGACCTTTGGATTTTGCTTCTGAGGTATTTTGGAAAAGGAATGGCCAAGTAGTTAGTGTGTAGGATACTGGGAAGAGAGAGCTCAAGAAGGGAGGCCCCATGGTTTGCAACCATCCTGAATGACATCGAAGGTCCGCTGTAGAGCTGAGATGGATTAGAGAGAAATTCAGTAGGCACAACTCTCAGGACCTGGGAACTGATGATAAACAGGTGTGGCATGATGACCTCAGAATGTTGGTGCGTGGATGGTGATTTAGGGACAGAGATGGGGAGGGAGGAGTTCATCATGAAAAGGTGGAGAGGCAGGAGCTCCCAGAGTGTTCTAGGCTGAGGACAGATTTTGTATAATGAAGTAGTGATAGTGAAGTGTACCATAAGATCACTGAAGAAGCAGAGGGAGCACAGGATGGAATCCCAAGGAACCCCAAAGTGTGAGGGGTAGGGATCGAGTGGAGCTTCTATGAGGAAACAGACATTCGAACTAAGGCCTGAAGGAGAAGAGCAAGCCAGGAGTTCAAGGACTAGCAGGACAATGAGTATCAATGGCTGTTGTAGAAGTGAGGACAAAGTTCTGAAGAACTGCCCCTGCAAGGTGGAGACATAGCAAAGACAAGGTGTGGGTTCCTCATCAGACTCACCATGGGGTTTTATAAGAGGCAATAACTCTGTGGAGACATCTCGAGTACCAAAAAAGTTTGTTTTCATAGTCACCTCTGCTTGAATATGAAACGGTGTAGGATCAGCAGCTTTTAAGGAAGAAAGAAAATGGTTAATAATGACGTACGAAAAGTGCAAGTGAAATCCGGTGCATTGTGCCTAAAGTCAGGGTCTAGTTACAGTACTGTGCCCCTGTCAATCTCCTGGTTCCATAATGTTCAGTATTTTTGCAAATGGCACTCCTGGAGAAGTCTGGGTGAAGGGGGCATCCATGGGATCTCAGATAATTTTGTTTTCAATTTCTTATTTCAAAATCAGTAAAATATTCATCCAACTGCCCTAAAGCCCAATCACAGAAAAACTAAAGAAATCTGGCAAAGAGCATCAAAAGTCCAAGCCAGAGAAAGAGAAAGATCTCGTAGGCTGGAAAACCCTCCCACTTGCTGATGGCTTTTCCCTTCCTGCGGCTCCCAGCCTCTCCTTTTCTCCCTAAAGAGTATGTTCCGGACCCCAAGGAATCGAGGGACCCCACCATGGCGCTCCCAGGCTGGAGGCTCTCTTCCAGTTCACCGCCCTGCTGCGCCACCACCCCCTTACTCTTGAAAGCGATGCCCGCGTTGTTGACCAGCACGTCGAGCCCTCCATACTCCTTGCGCAGGAAGTCGCGCAGGGTGCGGATGCTCTGGATATCGTCGATGTCCAGCTGGTGGAAGCGCGGGTTCAGTCCTTCGGCCTGCAGCTGTTGTACGGCCGCCCGGCCCCGCGCCTCGTCCCGCGCCGTGAGCACCACGTCCCCCGAAAACTGCCGGCACAGGTCTCGCACGATGGCGAGGCCGATGCCCTTATTGCCCCCAGTCACCAACGCTACGCGGCTGCAGGACGACATGGTCGGAAAGGCGCGCGGACACGTGCGTGGAAAGCCGACTTTGCAGAAGACCTCGAGCGGCACGGCGAGTCCGAGAGTCGGAGCGGGTCTGGCGGCTGCGGGGTGAGCGCCGGGAGGTCGCTAGCGGCGAGACGCGGGTGAAGCGCGCAGGCGCAGGCTCCACCTCCCCAGCGGGGCTCCGGGAGAACAGCCAGCGTTGTGCCCGGGCGTGGGCTGGCGAAGCCCGCCCTCAGGACTGGTATCTGCTGGCTGCTAGCTGCTGGCAGGCCCCCCGCCGGGCACACGCCCG